CAATTGTACAATGTCCTTTCAGTGTTTTAAATGATTGACTGGACAGTGGTGTGAGATGTTTAAAGCTTGCGATACTGTTTTATAACATATTCCATTGTTTTCATGATGCAGAGCTGTTAAACTAAAAGCATTTGAGCAGAGCTACACGCTACACTTTGGAACAATTGGATAATCACACTTTCTTTTATTCTACGCTGCAGTTACGTGCTGCATTGTGTTGGTCTACTAAATAAAACGAAGCTTGTGTTTGCATCGTAGATAAATAGATGTTTGCGCATGAGTCTGGGCCATGAGGACGCAGCTGGCTCCTGTATATCTGAAGCCAAGTCGCTGGTCACTGTGGACAAATGGAAAACCAGCATCATGAGAAAAAGAAGAAAGTGAGTTTCTTTGATTACCCTCATTTTAAAAAAAGGGGTTATGACTCTGCAATTTAGATCCCACAGTTGAGAGCCAAACCCCTAGTGACGCACAAAACAGACTTCAGCATAAAATATGCCACCTCACAGAAGACAAAGAGGAATTTATTTCATATCAAAATAAATTCTATAATAAAAATTAAAAAAAAACACAGAAACCACAAGACTACAGGGTGTGACTTAGACAACTGAAGAGCATAGAAACATAATCCTGTTTCATTTTTTTTCTCTGGGAGGACTAAACCAGCTGTGATTGGACAACACACTGCTGAAGGAGGATTCAATCAAACTTCAACTAATAACAATATGTTGATCCGCAAAGAATGCATAAAAAAATCTTCTAAAACTAACAGTATTTTAGCTTATAAATTGTTGATCTTCCATTTTGTTTCTATTAGTTTCCAAAGTAAATGCTTACACATGACTTGAAGAGGTATTCATACCTGTTTAGACGCTTCCTCTGTCACAGAGACGGCAGGTCAACTATTTACACCCAAGTGATTTGACTCCATTGGATTTCAAATAGACATGTTAGATAAAAATGCCCTGAATAAAAATGTAATTTGGACTTTACAGACTTTTATTCACAAACAATTTTTTAGGTCCATCACGTAGGATGTCAATAACATATTTTTGAGTTTTGTGGTTGCCGCATGTGAAAATGGAAAGTAGTTATAGAGACAGGAATACTTTAGCACAGTGCTGTAAGTAGACACGAGTCAAACTGATCCGACAGTGCCCTGTTTGGGTAGGGTGCCATCTCCTGGTTGTAGCACAGCATGTAACAACATATTCCATCCAGATATAAGAAGCACAATAAAGAGGGAGGGGGGCAGGTATGGAGAGAGATTCTTCTCTGGGAAATTTTCCACAGTGTTCATCCACAGAAAGGTTCTTTAATAACAGGTCTGAGTCATCTTGTTGATGTCACACCATCATATCTCTTTAGAGAGGGCTGAAAGAATAAACTCTTATCTGTAACAAAATATCCACACAGTAAATCCATATCCACCTCTGGTATTTCTGCTTTCAACAAGACGTGTATATAGGAAAAATAAAAAATAAAAATCACATATCCCAAAAGCAAAGCTTACCTCTGAACACTTTCTTGCCGCTACAGGCTAAACATGAGCATGCTAACTAAGAGTGTCTGCAGTGCTGGCTGCAGAAACCAGAGAAGGCAGGTAAATCATTGGTCATCTCAGGCTAGTAAAAGAGGTTTAGTTAAGAGACTCGGGAGGAGGAACCTTCACAGAGAGCTGCACACACAGACCGTGGACTGGCTGTAGTATGTAAACAGTGCATGTGTAATGGGGAGAGTATCAGGCTTAAGGCTCTGATCTCTCTAACTGCAGTCGGTGTGTTCTCCAGACGCCAGCTGGTAAACAGACCAAAAAGGGGCTAAGTCTGTGTTTATGCGAATAGAGACATGCACTGTGCACGAGTTAAAAAGTGAGGGCTAGACAATGAGAATAAATTATCAGTGCTACTACTTTTGAAAGAGTTCCAGGGAGCAGAAACCTGTGTGTGAAAAAGAGAAAGAGAATAGGAGAAGAGGGCTGGATGGACAGTTTAACTGCGATGTATCTCCTTCATGTCTTATCTCCCTCCTCTCGTCTCCTGCTCTCCATGTGAGAGCAGTTTCTCTCTACTTTATGACTCTTTATCTGACATGAAAGGCACTAACATGGGATAGCCGCCATTACGGCTCCATCAACATGAAAAAGCCCTGACACGGGATTCTCCACAGCGGCTGTGCCCATTAAGGACGACTGGCGATTCTGTGCTCTGTCAAGGAGCCATCACGAGTAGACAGCGCCAACATAATGAGGACTTAAAACCTTAACCTTGCCTTTAAGACCCCTGGTCAAAAGAAGCAATAAAATCCTCATGAGGGCACATTGGCTGGCCTGCTTCGTAATTACAACCCATGTCCAAGCACTAAGCCAGAAGGTAATATAGTTTAGATATACAAAAAGAGTATAAGGGAGTTCAGATCCAAGGCAGAGGGGTCATATACTTAACTTTTCACACAACCTGCTAGTTACCAAAATAGCTGTCAATTTTGTATATATGACACAAATCGCTGCCTTCATGTTTTTAAAGTTCAATGTCTGACCATTCTGATGAAACTCAAACAATTCAAAAATATATGCGTTTTTAAAAAAGATCCCAATATCGCTTAATGGCGTCATTGATATTTAAGTCAACACTACAACAGTTATGCTGCTTTCTAAAATAAGGGAAGTCAAAATTTCAACCCAGATACATTTCTGCAATACATTTAACAGGTGAGAATCATCATGTTTTAGAGCCTGAGTACATATAAATATTGAAAAAAAGAAACACTATCAGCCTTTTCATTGCTCTCTTCAATAACAAGAGCTTTTGGTTCCATGCTCCTCTAACATGGAAAGGCTCTACCATTTATGGATGATGTGTTGCTGCTTAATGGCCGTGCAGAAAAGGACTAAGAGAGCACTCTTACTTTCCTGACAGATTCCTGCTGCAAACAAAATCTGGAGGAACTTAGTAAAAATTAAGAAGACTGAATTTGTTCCCCGCTCCTAAAAAAACAGTGCGTCTTTTCGAAGCACGTTTTGGCCCCTGGATTATTCAACAAATATAATCTTCGCTTCAAGTGAAGGAAGGACCTAACATTGACAGATGGGAAAGTAAGCACATAGTCAGTACAACCCATAACTTGAGCAGTGAATCAGCAGCCACACCAGTAAAGCGACCAGGGATGTTGATTTTGGGGATACATGAAGTTCCTCTATTAAGAAAAGGCATTGATGTCCATTTGTTTTGACATTTTGTCTGACTCGTATGGGTCCAAAACTTCTGATGACACGTCCCAATCACATTTTTAATGTGCATCAATAAATGCTCTGTGCAAACGGTTCTTTCTGCATGTTTATTAGCAATTACACATAGTCTTTTCTTCTGTGTCTGAGCTAAGTGGATGATAGACTGTTAGAACATTTTAAATTCCTTTCCAATCCAAGTGTGTGAATCATAGGATTTGCTAAATAGCATACTTTTTACCTTCACCAAGAAAAAAAAATGTGTGAAAAAATTATAAATTTTCATGATAATAACTAAGAGAATATGTTTGCAATCATGAAAAAACGGACAACTGAGATTGTTACTTTTCCGGTTTGAACATTTTTTTTCCTTTTACACAAGGGGCATTAATGCATAAATAAAAACTAATGAGAGCAATTGCTGAATCCTGTTTATGGGTACAATTACCATGCTTGATGTAACTGATGTACTGGTGAATCATTACTGCAATAAATATAACCACAAATTTTTAAGGCCATTTAGCCCATCCCGACTGTGGCTGAAGTTTGAAAAGATTTTCAGGGCCAGCTGCCAGCAAACAGGTTTGATCGCTTCATTACTGTCATGCCGTTAAACCCTCACGAGTCAAACAATTGCTGCTTATGTATAAAAAAGCCAAACGGTCATGTCATTCACTGTTAATATATTTTACACCATAACTTTACGGGTCTCTAAAATAAAGTATTATGATGGAAGTATTAAGTTTTTTTTGGAGGAAAGTGGGTGCTGATGCCTGTCCTCATCCGAGTTACAATGCTGGCCATACCGTGAGAAAAAAAGATTACAACCTTAATGTTGGCAAACTTTTAGTTTCTTCTTGAATTACAAATTTTCTCATAAGGAGTCACGCACCACTGCTGTGGATAACAGGCAGACTGTGTTCACCACAGAGAACTTTTAAATCTCTAGGTGGGGTAGTGGTCTAGGTCTCCATGTTGTGCACTCAGACAGCAGTTCGACTGAATCATTGCCGTATGAACTCACTTTCAAGATAAATATTTTTGCTCTAGCATCCATCTCATAGGTAGGCGGTTGTGCTGTGCATTTATGCCCACATTTGCTGTGGTGAACAAAGGTTGTTAAAATCATCACCATCATTGAAGCTATTTAAAGAAAAGTATGTACAGAAAACATTTGGTGTTATTGTTTTTTTGTTTCCATTTTTTCCAACATATTTGCACCTCTGTTGGGTTTAAAACAAGTATCTGGAAGAAACAAAGCTTCTTCACATGACGAAAGACAAAATGAAGTCATTTAATCTTCCACCGACATTCAAAACTCATCACTTGAAACTATTGTACAAAGAAAAACAATTCCTAGACTTGATCTTCTTTAAGTCTTCCCCCATTTTACTGAAACAAAAGTCAAATTCATGACAATTTGCAAATCTTTTAGGCAATCAGAATAGAGGCTCCTGACCAGGGAGAATTGGGAGCATATATTTTATGACGGTATTTTCAAGATTTAAATTTGACAACGAAGAAAAAAAATAAGGATTTTGGTTTTAGATATGGGTCACTGGTTCAGATATCCCTCCCAAAGTAGCTGTAATTTCACCAAAAGACAAGAGACTGAATACAAACACCATACTTATTAATTTGTTGAAAAAAATAACCATCCCTCTCCTTTCAACACTATAATTACATGCCAAAATACATTGAAATTTGATGATGTAAAGTAACTTTCATGGATCACAACAACATGTTTACTTAAGCGCTATAAACAAATCCTTACCTCCTGACACTGGAGCATCCATGAAGACGGCGCCCATCTTCTCTGCCGCTACAGCCATTTCTCTAGCAACAGCAGGATCAATTGTTGAGGAGTCGACCAGCAGCGTTCCCTTCTTCACCTTCCTGAGAAAAGTTACATAGGTCACACTTGTATTACAGCTACAGCTTTTTTAATTGTATTTATTGTTATTATCATTATCGAGCAAGAATCTGCCTACTTTAAGATGCCGTTAGAGCCCGTGTAGACTTCTATGACATTTGGACTAGACGGCAGCATTGTGATGATGCGATCCGCTTTCTCTGCCACGTATGCAGGAGAGTCCACCACCTAAATGTCAGATTCGTCATCATCACCATGAGGGCAAAATGAATACGGTTTGAAGAAAAATGAGTTGCGCTCGTTTTTGAAGAATATGTTGCTGGATGGACATTTAATAGTTACTTACAACATCTTACCTGGGCACCCAAGTCCTGCAGCTCTTTGCAACATTCCGGGAAGACATCAGTGGCAATGACAGGATAACCGTTTTTTATTAAGTTCTTGGCCATGGGACTTCCCATATTTCCCAGACCAATAAAGCCCACTGGTGTCTTTGAGGCCATAGATCTTGTTGATCCTAATAAAAAAAGAAAAATAAACAATGAAGTTAAGTGTAATGATGACTAACATCTCCAATGTCCAGAGGGATTTCTCTGATTAGCAAATAATTACAGGATGAGTACCACACAAAAGCTGAGGGTTTTCCCTCCCAGCTACATATTTAACAAAAAATGTGTTCATTGTGCAGCAAGTCTTTGTCCATTCATTTTCATCAGGCCTTTAGTTAATCTGCCCTGATTAGCTCACAATATAGTCCAGTGAGACAAAATCCAACAGACAAGACTGGAAACCGGAGGTGAATCAGCCAGACAACAAAAAGGATTAGACCTGGATAAAGATACCCAAACAATGAGCTTAAAGTAAATTCAGCCAGCTTTACAACATGCTGAGTAAATACTGTCACGCTATAGTTTCAAAGCATTTCCAAACTAACGTATGTCCATCAAAATTTGCCAAGAGATTTTGTTTTCAAGTTTTACTTGAATTTTTAAACTGAGTATTGCTTCAGTAACAGACTAACTCTATGGAAATTTACTAAGGTCATGTTGTGAACAGAAATAGCTTAATAGAGTCTCCAACCTAGTCGGTATGTTTAAGCACATTGTGGACACCAAAAATAACTCAAAGTATGCATCTCACCACACTTAGATTTCTCCTGATATTTTTTTTGGTCTGATTTTTTTGTCTTGTCCAACTGATGCAGTGCTATGACACTGAGATGCATGTGAAAATGTCTTTAAGTTGTCATAAAAACATCTTGCGATTTGCTTGATAGATTGCAAGACATTCATTATCTTTAAATCAACCCAGGAAATATTCAAAAGAATGCTGTGAATCACACAATTGTAATCTTGCAACTAGAAAAGGGCCAGATTAAAGTCTACGAGGTCTTCCAAAATTAGTTTCAAAACAGCTAATATATGATCATAACATTACATTGACTTAAAATCCTTTCCTTGAGATTCAGAAAAAAAATGAGGTCCAATAACCAAAATCATCTCGAGCTGTACAAAGCTGAGTAAAAGCAGTGGTTTCCAAAACCTGTTGCTGCCGACCAGGAGGTTGACCACATTTTTCCTTTCTATGCCAGAAAAACAAATTTATGTGTTTGTCCGGTTGTGACAAACACATAAGTCATGGTGTGAAAAGTCCCACATCTCTCTTGTTTTGACAATACCATTTTTAAACTGCAGTTGGCAAGTGATGAGCAGCGTGACTGCAGCATCCTGCTGCAGACTCTACCCAAACACACAGGCAAGCTAATATTAGCTTGTTCCCCTCACAGTTTCACTCTAAGAACAGAAGAACAACCAAACAGGAACAATTTACTGTGCAGTAAGCATTTGAAACATGGTACTTAATTTAGTGGCTGTTTATTCTATATTTTTGTTAGAAACTATGTATTATCACTTTTACAGTAGTTAGCTTGTTTTTTTTTTATTTATTTAAAGTGTTCTAGCTTCCTACTGTGTATATGAGCTGATATTATATTGGAGTTAACTGTGTGTTCCCTAACCTTGAATTATGTTTCTACAGCTGCCTTTTTATCTACAGTTTACTTGAGAAACTGCCTGTGTGCAGAAGTAGCTTGTTTCTTCCGTCTTGCTTTCCCATCCTCCCTCTTTTTCCTTCATAATAAAAGACAAAGCTGTAACCAAAGGTCTTCAGAACGCTCAGTGAACGCCTTGGATGATCAGTTTGCTGAGTCTTCTCCTTTTGCAAAAGCTTGGTCAGAAAACTGATATATGTTGTCTGTGGTTTTTTTTTAATGTAGGTTCAAAAATACCTATCAATTTTAGCTTAAGCATACATATAAAAATAAAATAATCAAATACTTTAGTTAAGAATATTTTTTATTTATATACTTTGTTTTTTTATATTGTAAATACTGCGATATTTTTACTTTAGGAAATGCCCCTCAATAAATTATTCCAACTGTAATTTCAGATTTGGTTTGAAATAAACATACATTACTCTTAAAAAGTCGTCTTATGCAGTCTATTGGGATATTAGTACAATACTGAAATATTATAGACAGGGATTTTTGCTTTACATACAGTATTTGCACATTGCCAAAACTCCAAAAAAAGTATTCTTAGTTTTACAAGTGTGACATCTTAAATGTAAAATATTTTTTTTATATTGCTTTTTACAATATAAAAAAACTAATTGTTTTATCTTGTTTTTATCTATGTGATTAGTGATGAGTACTCGATGCTATAGGATTTCAAGCACTGAAACGCTCAGCAAAGATTCTTGCACACGGTCAGTAAAACTTAAGCATTTGTGACATTTAAAACCTAATAAAGCTCAGCCTTAGAGAGTTTTAAAACAACTTGCTATGAGCAGGTATGGACCCTGTATCTCTGTGCGCACACCTGGTATGCAAATACATAATGGACTCAGGGACATTGTGTCCGAGCTGCAACATTAACACGGACTGCAACTCTTCATACTTTCTTCTAAGGGCTAAAGCTAGCTAACAAATTGATGTAAGGGGCATTCCATTTGTATTTATCACTGAAGAATATTCCCATGAAGAGGAAATTACGTCACAACGCAAACGAATACGTTACCGAAGACATGCTTGTTCCACCTGAAGCATATACTCCGGGACCCTCTAAACAACGCAGCCATGCTTCTCTCCCCCTCGACCTCGGTATTTGGTGACAGCTGTCAAGCAAGGAAAGCCACAGTAAACGGTTATGATTCAGTGTCTTTTGGACCAATAGTAGCGCCGGATCAGTTAGCCGGACCAATGGGAGAAAAACGAAGGCGGGACATCCTGTGATTTTACTTGAAAGTGCCCTTTAGTATATAATTTTGCCACTTTATCCAGAATTAATTACAATTTCAAAAAATCCCTTTTCATGCACATGGGATTATAGATGTATGCAAGTGTTTAGCTCTGGTTTTACCTCCGAGCTGACGGTATGTAGCTGCAAAAACCACAATATTACGCAGTATTTTATTTTGAATGAATAGGAAAAAAAAGCTAATTTATAAGTTTATCATAAACAGTAAAAGTTTGTTATGATAATAATATTTAGGCGTTGTTTCTAGTCGGGGTGTTCCGGTTCCCCCCACCGGCCCTCGCAGCATCACTGGTGCAGCAGCTCAGCATCATCATCTCTCCCTCTCTCAGGAAGAGACGCATCAGCGTCAGAGCTGAGAGTGGGGAAAAATAAACACAGAGATACGACGAAGAAAGTCTCTGTTTCTTTATAAGTACAAGCCATTTAATAGAGGTAAGGTTTATTTTCATGCTAAACTGGCTCGTGTGTGTTTGTGCGTCATGTGTCATCGAGCTCGCCGCCCAAAGAGGATGATGCTTAGCTAGCTAGTGACTTGACACAACATGGCCCGTCCACAAGCTAATGTTAGCCACCTTTAATGAGATAAGCTTTAGGTTGCTTTAGCTACAGTTCACTCGGCCGAAGTGTATTTTAGCTGCTCGGTCGTGGATCTAACTTCGCTTCTGTCTGTAATGTTACAGCTTTGAAATGTGCATTTCTGTATAATATTTAACATGTTTATTCCTGGGGTGGAGTCATTATAAAATGTAATGCGTTGATAGAATGTTTTGCCTTTTTGTGGTTCCAGAGTGAAATTACAGGATGGCAGGGATGTCAAAAAGCTGCATACATTCACAAGTGTTTGTTTCTTTACCATCAACCTAAGCTTCCCTTTACAATTTTCCTACACAGTTTGGAAAAGTATTGGAGTTTTCAAGTCTGAAAAAGTATGGAATGAAGAAAATTTACATAGAATATTTTTTCTTAATTGCCAGATTTATTCCCCATCTTATTGTCTAAGTCCATAATTCATCCATCCTAGTGCTCAAAAAGTGCATGGAAGTACATGCTGTTGTGGCACTTTATGGCACTTTACAAAAAGAAAAATGGTCAATTGAATCCAATCATAGATATATTTCAACTGATCCTAGTTATCAAACACTTCATTCAAGTTCCCTATCCGGGAACAGAGAAATGGAAACAAGGTCTTTCATATTATAATAAACCATATTTATAATTATTTTCCAGCCTTTTACCACCTGGTAAAGGAACAGAACTTTGTGTCACCATGAAATCATCTTTGACTTGACTGAACTCCCTCAGAGCCACAGAGGAGAAATTACTCAACAGTTTTCACATGCAAGGTAATACATATGATTATTACAACTTTGACTGGAAAAACTAAGGCAAGGTTTCTCCCAGTGTAATATAATCCTGGTGGGCCACCAGGCTTTACTTGGCCCCCCACCAGGGTAAGTGTCTTATTTTAAATATATATATATATATATATATATATATCTTTGCAAAGAACAGAGACAGTAAAGATGGTTTAATAGACATGGGTGTGAGGGCTGTCCCTGCACCTCTCCTTTGGCTTCATATGCTACTATTTCCAAATTATGATCCCAACTTGTGCACCTCAGAATTTTTGTACTGTTGAACATTTTTTAACACAAAAACACGGTGGGCCGCTAGTGGACTGGCATAGTGTCTCTACCACTGGGCTACGCAGGTTTTCTGGGGGAAACCCTGTAGTGTAAAGACTTGTTAATACTCAATGTTTGGTTATCACTAGCTGGGTAAATAAAACAAAAAAAAGACAAAACAAAAAGCATTTGTTCTATGCTTCATTTCATACAGAGGGCCTGGACCCTTGGCTATTAAGAAATGATTGATTTGCTGGTAGCAAAGTTTCCTTCTGGTAATTGTTTTATTGAAGAGTAAGATCCCTTTTATTAACTTACCTTTTAGAAGTGGATTATATGGTTGCAAGATGGTGGACGAGTCAATGCCTTATAGAACCTTTTATTGGCGACGCATATGGGTCCATAGCGAAACATTAAAATAAAGCATCAAATCAAACCCACAATGTCACAAATCTACACGAAGGCTAAAGCGCCAATGATTCCAGGACTTTGAATAAAACATGACTGAGCTAAATGGAGAGAATCTGTCAGGGATACAATTACACTATTTGTTTAGTCAACTGTACGCCCGTGAGATTCTGCATTGTAGCATGACGAGTGGGTTGACCAACAGTAACAAACGTTTAACTTACACTGCTCCATCTTAGCATTTTAAGCATCAACCTAATTCCAGCCTTGTATGCTACAGTGAGTTTCTGAATGTTGCTTTCTCTGCAGCTCCTCCACAAATGGCCAGTGTACACTGGGAGACAATAGGCTTATTTAAAGTGCCCAGTTTTCACCGGAACAACGGACGTGCAAAATTTACGTCTCAGCATATTAACTTGTGCATACATGATTTTGCATTTCATTTGAAAAGCCATATTATCAGATGTATAGCGTCCCAAGTATTTACCCGCAGCCACAGTAGGAACAGTACCACACAGAGTAAAGTCAGGAAATACTAAATTGTGGTCCTCCATACATCTATAAATAAATATCATACTCTAAGCATAATGAGAACAGACCCCCAGTAACGTCTTCTGATGACCTGCCACACTAAATCCTGATTGAATACATTGACGTTTATGGCTATAATGTGACAACGATTCAAAGGAAGACTTATGCAAACTGATATATGTGCGAAGGGAAAAGAATACAATCTCCTCCTACTGTTTCTCTTCTGTTTTTCTCACATCCAGGCAAATGAAGTGACCAGCAGGGCAGGATGTCATCATTCCAGGTGGTGGACTCATCGCCTGGCTGCAGCGTCAGCATCATGGAAACATCCAACTTCGCTCATGTCATCTTCCAGAACGTGGGGAAGAGTTTCCTGCCGCAGGCCCCCTTGGAGTGCCGTTACACGCTGACCCCTTACATTACTCCCCACCCCAAGGACTGGGTGGGCATCTTCAAGGTATTCGGTTAATGCAGTTTACTTTTGCTCTCAATGTTCGATATTTTTATTTGCTTTTTGAAATCGCAGCCATTTACGCAGGTTTCTGGTGGTACAAACAAGTGTTAGGGTCGCATTAATTGCCCGTAGTTTTGCACTTAGCACATTAACACGTGCATCCGCCCCGACAGTAATGATTCGTCACTACAAGCCTGAAAGCCTACCGCAAGCTTTGGTGTGGTTGTTCTGCCGGCAGAACAAGGACGAGTATACACGGTGGGCTGCTTGCACACATTTGGCCCTCTTTACGAAGCACTCTGATTCTTATTAAGACCCCTTCCCTTTCCATCATTTCACATGTGCCCCCCGATCCGCCTTCCGTTGACTTTCCATCAGCCCATTTCCCTTCTCTGCTTGGACTCTTTTATCAGGGCCATCAAATCTCACACGTAATTAACAGGAAATGGGAGCTGGGAAACTTAATGTCTCGTAAAGACAAAAGACAAACGTTTTATCGTAGTTTTAAAGCACTGACTTCAAATCCACCAGTTCAATTAAGAAGGAATAAAGATGCTGAGTTTATTTGGAAAAACAAAACAAAAAAACAAAAAAAAAACTTGTGGATTGGAAAATGTAATTATGGTAATCCATGCTAAAGAAACCCGTTTGATGGTCAGAGCTCCATGTCAGGGAACAAGCAGACCGTAGATTTTTAATCCTCTTTGACGTATGTGCCTGTCTTTTTTGCGTTCATTAGGACCTTATTTTATAGTTGCAAAGTCTTGCCGCCGTCTTTATACCCATTAAACCGAAACAACATTTACTGTACTTTATTGGGAATAAGTGTGCTAGAATAGCAAAAAGTGGTGCATATATGTTATGTAGAAGGAAAAGGAAAATATAGTCCTTAGCTCCTCATGTAAACTCTTTGTAAAACCACACGTTTCTGCAGACTTCACACATAACTACTAATAGTTTTGCACATTCTTTGCAAAACAGCTTAAGCTCATCTGTATAGAGCAGCTTATAAATCATGACACAGGTTCTTTCATTTATTCATGTCTGGACTTCTACTGAGTCAATTCCAGTTAGTTTTTTGTTTTGTTTTGTTTTGTTTTTTTGTCATTCATTGTACAAATTAAATCCGATCGCAATCAAATTTTTGTTTTCAAATGGTTTAAGACCCTAAAGCAACCCGCATAAGTAGAAGAAGGCAGAAGTCACACAGAAGCGCACTCTTTACGAAAGTAAAAATGGCCGCCGCCGTCGATGGATCAACTTTAAAGTTGTTCAGCAATGGGAGCCGACGGTATTGTCACATGATCATAACAAGACGAAGGACACCAGGAAAAAAATCAAAAACAAAGCACAACTCTAATAGCAACGGCCTTTTGTGGAGCATCCTGTGGAGAAGTGCGGTTTGGATGTGCAGCCAGATGACGTAAAATGCGATGTGACACAAACGCTTTACAAACTGCCGCATACGCATCCGAGTTAGTACCACACAGGAATGGCACAAATCAGACTTTTTGGGGGTGGAAAGATCGGAGTTGCCTGGTTCTGACTGCCACGAAAACGTCTGATCACATGTGCCTATCGTGTGAATGCATCCTCATGTTGTGTTTTGCTTTCAAATTCTTCAAACTGATCCGTGGGACTCTGCCAACTGACCTGACTCAGCCTGTTAGCTTAGTTAAATATCCATACCTCAGTAAGTTTGTAGTTGTTCCCTGCTTTTTTCACTTTTGAGTAAAACTCTTTTGAGATGCTCAGTGTTTGGGAGATTGTTTTATAACCCAGTGTATGTCTGTGTTTGCTCTTTGTGACTCTGTGTGTTCACTAATGTTCTCAACACACCTCTGAGGCCTTTGCAGAACAGCTG